TACGGAATATGGTGTTTTAGTGCTTTTTCTAAGGCTATTTCAACAGCCATATTAACAATCACTTTAACTTGTGCTATATAAGAATAAGAGAGATGTGACTTACTGACCCTTTCCATCACTGAAGAACAACTCATTTATTTAGTCAATCTTGTTTTTGAATCCACCAGATGGCTGCGTTGTGGTCTTAGCGAGAAAAAAGTCTTGGATTCGTAACTAGAGAGAGAGAGCTGATCGGCACAAAAGCCTGTATCCTAAGATCAAACTGTGTATAAAATAATTAGTGTAAAAGGCAGAATACCTTATGGTTAATATATATGTTCCTTTGTAACGACAGAAGACAAGGGCCAGGCAACAGGTTGTCCATTGAGAAAAACAACAGATATTTATAGATTTTTATGTATATTATTATTCATCATTGTTAGCAGAGAGGTAACGTCTTATGATTGGTTGTTCTCCTGTTGAAAGTTATTCTGTCATCTCTTTGTTGCTGTTTCTGAGACGATCCGTTGATATATCTGCTAATCGTATCCTCCCACGCTAAGTCTGCTGTGGTTGGTTGTTGAGTTCCTCAAGGTTAGTGATTGGTCTTGTGCCTTCTCATGACCAAGATTTGGGACATAAACATTGACGTAAATTGCTGTTTATAATTTCGGCTAACAGACAGCTTTCACTACACCTGCACTAAATATAAACAGAGATGTTAAGTATGTTTTGTCAGCGGCGGATGCCAACATGTTGCAAAAAACATCATAAATTCTATATTTATTACTCATTGTTTTCTTTAGTTCCGAGTTGAAGATAGAGCCTCAACAGCGCATCTCCACTTTGCCTTACTTTCTGTTGTCCTTTTTAACTGCCCCCACCCGTCATTTCCGAATCGGGCTTCACTTTAGTGATGGTCTGGCGCGTGATGTCATTCGACAGTCTCCTCAGCGTGTGCCTGGTCCATCCCTGCTTCCTTCAGCATATTTTCTGAGCTTTGTCTTGTTGATTGGTCCGCTCGCGGAATTCATTGTTGCTAATTCTTTCCGGCGATTCCAGATTCATTTCGGAGGCAGCGAGGGCGGCTGCTGATAGAAGTCTGCGACTTATTGGGGGTTTTTACTGAAGCACAGACTAGGCTCCTGACTGATATCGAAGAATTGACTAAGCGGTACGTTCAACATTTGCGTTACATTTTAGCTTTATTCGCTATATATTTATATTTTCGCTGTGAGACTCGCACAAGTGTTTCTCCAGTTCCATAATTGCAACCAATAACTCTCTCACTAATTAGTTATGGTTAGTCATACAAAAGAGTCACGAACTCAGTCACCTGTTAACCTGATGACTAATAGTACATCTATGCTCGCAACAACAAGCAGAACAACTCCCACGAAGTATGGAAGTGAGGCACACAGCTTGCCAATACGCCGAAAGCGTCGAGCTGCCGCGTCACTACCATCTACTGTGGCTGAAACTGAGGGCGAAAATATGCTGACAACCAGTAGTAGCATTGCCTCTACAAACTCAGCACCTGGTCCTGACATAAACCTCTTCACTTCACCTTATGCACGTGTCACAAAACTTCAGATACCAAGTCCAGCTCCAACACTTACTTCAGAAATAGAACGACTAAAGCTGTCTGTAGAAGAACTGAAGACTGAGATGCGGGATATAAGGTGTAGTAAAGTTATGAGTGCAGGTTTTTCAGAAAATTTGGCCAACTTATCTGAACTATCAACACAGATTAGTGATATAAAATCACAGGTCTGTGAACTTGCACCTCTGAACATCTTGACTAGGACCATAAACCCTGACGAACTTGACACAGAATCCGTAACTAAGGTAGACTCCTTGATAAACTTCATCACAACAGAGGTTGTCAAAAGACTTGATACTAAACTAAGCGTGATTGTCTATAATATACCAGGTAATGAGGGGTTGAATAAGGTTCAAAGCATCTTACTTAGGGCGGCGAAAGGGCCTAACTGCCAAACAAAATGTCACAGACTGAAGAAGGGTCAGCACGACCACTGCTGTCCTATACGCCTTCAGTTTGAAACTCTGACAGAGGCTAAAAAATTCACCAACACACAACGTATCTTATTACAGGACACAAGATACAAACAAGTAAAAGTTGTAGCAGATAAGACAGTGATTGAAAGGCTTGCTTACAATCACCTCAATAGACCTAATGGCAAGACACCGCAAGCCACTAAAATAGATGAACACACTGCCAACACGGTAGAACTCATAGCCTCCTCCCTCTCAAATCTCACAAAAATAGCTCCACAGAAAACGAAACCAAACGAAAGACTTGTGAACTATAGTCTTACTCCTAAATTAACCTCTCCTCCCTCTACCGTGGATCTAGATATGTCTGTGGACAGCCATAAGATGGAAGCCAATCCCTCTCGTAAGCTGACAACATCATCTCCTAGCCAAAACGTGACAACACAAATGGAACTCAGTAACAAAACATGCCGAAATACACCACTTGTTGCGAAGAATCCCCAACATATTCAAACTCCCAAGAATAACTCACACTTTAAGGTAAATAATATTCGAAACTATGCCAGCGACTAAATTAAAAACAAAATTAAGGACATAGAGTCCGAGGACAATAACGACACAACCTACTCGCATACTGTGCCAAGTCACACTAGTAGCTATCACGCAAAGTAGCATGAGTGACAGCACTTGGAGCTCAGCTACCCAGGGTCTACAGAGTATGACACACAAACTAACTTTGGCAGATTATACGGAACAAGTATTCTGGGAAACAAACCACAGTGCAGCTATGCATATAATGACACCCATGTAAGGTCTCTTGGAATGTCCCCACACAATAGGCAGATTAACAAGTCATGGTCATCACAAGGTACCAATGATTTTTATCCAACACATCCCTGTCAGCGCCAACCGAACAGCTGGTGGGGATGTTAACCCTTCTGAACCCATAGCACTAATGTCGGCTCCCTATCGGGAAGAAAACAGACATGGGCTAGTACACACGAAACTATTAATCACACCCAATGACTGTACAAGCATAGGCCAAATAAAAACTACAACCCAAGTCTCCAACCTACCCAAGCCTAGAACTACGTCATCACATAGTTTATCTAATAATCAAACCCATTACTCACTAAAAAATTGGATAGTAACTCGACAGACATAGGTGAACATGGTACCCAAACAAGTTGCAACAGAGGGTTGTTATGCCACGCGGAAACAGTGGATGCTGATCCACACTTGAACCTTATAGACGAGCTTAAATAGTTCAAACACTACCTCAAATCTCAACTCTACTTAATACTTATTAATGCTAGATCTATCCTTAACAAACTACCGATGCTCAGGGCACACACGCTGGTATACAAACCCCCAATAATTATTATTACAGAATCATGGTGTCACTCTAGTAGTACTTCTAGCTTACTGTCAACGATTTTATTAACCAATACCAGTTTTTCATTTGACCGACCCAAACACATTTTGAACCTTAACATGTTCTGGCTAACATTATCCCTCGAGGAATGCGATGGCTTGCTATGCCATCACATGTTGTAGCCATCTCAACCTATTCAGCTTCCCTACCTTGAAGACTAACTTACCCTCCTCACCTAACACTTTATGCGTAACCTCAACAGCAATCGCCATATTATACTGCTTTACTCATGAGGTAGAACACAGACACCTATAATCAAACACCGGTATTCTTTTCATATTTTCCAGTATCAGTGGTTACTTCTCATAGTCTAGGTGTACAGTATCATCAGCAAACTGTAAGTTGATGATGATAAGTCTCTAAAGTCATTTATAGACTATCCTACTGATATATGTGTGTTTGGATTGAAATGATATAAGGATGACAGTTTAAGAATTCAACCATGTGTTACATCCCAATTGGAAATGTGTTTTCTCGGATAATTCGCAAACAGTAATCACTGAATAGAAAACATTCTGTAGAATTTATGGAACTCATTAACTGATGCAATACTTTTGCAGGCATTATAGTGTTTCCCCAATAAAGCGAGATTTGTATATTTCGGCTGCATAAAACGAGTAAGTGCTATCCTAGCAATACCTATGATTACAACAAGTCTTGAAATTATGCACTGCAACTTTTACTTTACTGAATACTCCAGCAGATTTAAAATAAACACTTGACAAATATCAAATTTATACAGGAAGTCAGTAAGATTCAGTAAACTAAAAGTACCTCCGGTTTACATAGGAGTTCTCCATGCCGAATTTATTCCTTTAAGGGCTGACACAGATTACAACTTCAATTAAATAACACTGACGTGGAAGAAATTCCATTCTTCATTACTAAACTTACTGAAAAGAATCATGTTTTTTATTCTAAAAACAGGAGCATTCGTAATGTTTCACTTTATGTCAATGCAGTTACATATAGTTGCACGAAGAACTCAGTGCAACTCGATGCACAATAGTATATACACAAATAAACTGAAAAATAACGTCCTCCTCACCTTCTGAACAACTTTTCCTTATTACCGGATAATAACTTTCACGTATGCGCCTGAGTTATGTCTATGAAACCACAATATTACATGAGTTAAGTCTTCCCCCAAAACAAAGGCCACTTGAAACCAATAGCAACATAGCGACAAGCGTCATTGAGGGGATATGCAATAAAGTCGCTCAAGTTGTGACTTCACCTGTTCTTCCTACTTGTTTCTTCCCGCCTGTAAATCTGAAAGTTTTTCAGCTTTCACCTACAAATTATTATCTTCTAGGCCATGTTCTGGGTCCAGCCTATACACTGCTTCTAACTCCTCTCGGACAACCTTATGCCTTCTTCTGTTACAGTCAGGAAGACTATCCTGTATAATGAGCTCAGAAGAATAAATGCAGGCTTGGTTCTAAAATCTGAGATTAAGAGGTATGTTGTTAAATAAATTCAATAAAAATTGTGATCAGCTATAAAGAAACAAAGTTCAAGTCTTAATCTCGGGTTCCTTGTTTTGTCGCTTCAACATTGGTATACAATAAACACGAAGGCTTTTAAACTCTCGTAAATATGTTGAAAAATATTTCCGGGAGAACATTTTCACTGATATTGTTCTTCTTGAATGGTCTTTCCATGGTAACAGTAACCTAAATAATCAACAACATTTCTAGCTTTTTGGAATATCCATAATATCGCTTGGAGTCGTTTGTATTATTGATCATGGGAATATGTCGGAGGTCGTTGGTTCTTCCCTTTATACGTCTGGGGTGTACATTCTCATATTCCTGGGACTAATCATAATGACCATAGCACTATGTGGATATATTGCAGCCGACAAAGAAAATATTTGCTTAATAGTTTCTGTAAGAAAAAATCGTTGTGATAATATTTCAGTACATTTTCATCTTGTGTTTAGTGGCACTCCTTTTACTGATCGCAGGAATAATGGTTTTATCATTTCAAAATTCAGTGAGTTGCCTCATAAAGTGTCACAAACAAAGTGAACCCTAATTTAGCTCGGTGAATCAGCTAGAAGGGTAATGATAGACACATTGAGAACTAATTATGGAAGGCATGGAATAATAACTGATGCATGGAACTTGGTGCAAAGCAGGCTTCACTGTTGCGGCGTTGACAACAATGGGTGGAGTGTGTATAATGGATCCTGGTGGGATATGATAACTAACCAGGACTTATACGAAACAAGTACTAAGCTACCAGGTACTTAAAAATTTAATTCTAACAAATGAGCGTTGTAGAATCGAGTTTGTTCTATCTGTTTGTACCTCATTCTTGTTGTGCGAAGAAGCTGGATGGATTGACGGGTTGGCCAACAGACGTTTATCGTGATACGAAGCGCTGCCAGACGTGGCAGTATGGACCTCCAAATAAGGCTTACGGGCCTCACAATGATGCCATTTATTATGCTGTAATTTATTTAGATGACAAATAGTCACTTATTTATAGGGATGTTTCGAGAGTTTGAAAAGTTACATTAACAACTACGCCAAAGCTATGGGTGCCTTGGCACTGTGTGCATTCATTGTCGTGGTAAGTATCTTTTCATTATCGTTGTGATAATATAAGAAAAGACCTATAAATTCCCCTTATTTTAGAGTATGCAGTTAATACTGCGTTTTTAGGCGAATTCGCTGACAATATGCAGAGTCCTATAAACACCTTGAGCGAACGTCTAATTATCTTTGGCATACTGTTGGCTCCTGCTGCAAAACTGGTTTGCACCGATCCCTAGTTTAAGAGTCAATGTTCAAACGGCTGAATGCGTTGACTAATTAACTTATATTGCAACCCCTCACGAGTTGGTTGCTGTCGAAAACTCAGCAAAGATAAAAAAGGCTCATTTGACATTTGATACTTTTGGGTCAGGCGTCGTATCTATCTAATGAAAAGCGAGCGTACTGTGCGGTGGTTCATTCCATCTTGTCTTGTAGGTGTTAAGTACGGCTGCTGAAGGCAAAGAATTTGAAAAGACTGATGATTTTCGATCATGCGTATCTTAATTAAGTCTCTAGTGTTATTTAGGGCTATCTGATCATTCGTAATGAGTCCTTGGTAAGGAAAGTCATACTCTGATATTATGGAATTCAGTATATTAAGCTGGCTAGCAAATGTACCACTTACTTTAAGACACGTTCTTTCCAGCTGTAATATAGCTAGGCTGGAAAAAAGTTGTAAATGTTCAAATGCAAATACAGCGACAATCCTTGAAGTTTTTGAATCTTCGTTTGACCCGCGTAGGGAGGTGTTGACTCCCTGGCTAGGGGTTCTCAGAATGCCACAAACCAATGGTTGGAAACTTTGGTGGCATGGCCAGGAATCGTTTGGCAACAAAACAGATAAATCCACTAATTTAGATCCATAAAATCCTCCTTAGAGTTAATTTAACTGCTTCCATTTTCGTACAAGCCTAACCATTGTAATTTCGCTAGATTTCTTTCTTTTACTTTTATCTGTGATTTTTCGAAGTGAAATAACCTCGATATTTGTTTTTCCGTGCAAAGTTCCACGTTGATAAGTCAGCTAGCATTACGGTTAATGTTTCATACTGTTTTTTACGCGGATAACTACACTACACTACACTATTATACTAGTATATTTCATGGAGTTAAACTAAGTAGCATGTTTTTCAATTACTGTATCATCTAATAAGCTTGAAATAATTCGATTTCAGGAGTTGTAGGAGGACTGTACCTGTTCACAGATAATAGTCACTTAGCTGAAAATGATATGATATATCAGAAAATCCACTGAGACATCATATTCTGTTTAACGCAAGACTAGTTATTTAATCACAGCTTGCAACACCAAGTAATTACGTTATAGCTGACACAACTTTGAAGACGGGAAGATCATATTAGAGTAAAATGAATTCCCATATATATGTATATATACTAGTATAAATCCACAGGAATTATTTAAAAACAATATTAACCTTTAATATGTACTATTACTGTTTAAATAACACAATAAGATTATTTGACAGAAATCTTTACTTACTCCAGATCAAACACTCTTACTTCGAAAACTTAAACAATGGATTCTTACAGTTTAATACTGACTAAATATCGTGCTGTTTTAAACAGCTTTCAGTGAACTCGTTTCAAACTAAGAAGCTAAAGGTACACATTTAGTTCTCCTAGAATCACTATATGCACTCTACCCTAGAACTACACTAGGTCTAAATTTTAAATACTTACCCTTAATTTAAAGTAATTTAGTGCCTAGCAAACCACGATAATTTAAATCATCTTTTTGGTAATATAGCTATAAACAGAAATTATAATGTCAATGGTTCCCCTTCTAGGAAGAATAAAGATAAACAAGAAGCTGCATTACTTCACTTGTACTCGTAATCGCAATAACATGAAATGTAAAGAGATTTCCGCATTAGTTTCCTTTGACCATTGCGAAGCCAATACATCACTACACGTTTGACTAATTGCTTCAAATGTAAAAGAAAGTTCTTGTCAGAGTTATCACGCAAATTTGATAACCAATATGCCCATGTATTTTTCGGGAGACGGTATCACAGCTTGAGACGTTCTTGCCTATAACTTCACCAGTAGCGATGGGAGTTTTAATATTTTCCTACAGTAATATTATGAAAAGGTGATGCACGGAGAAATCCTTCATTAATGTATTTTGAGATGCATTTTTATAGTAATGACACACCAAGAAATTTTAACCCTGTCGGCACTAAGTTTCAATAGAGAGGGCATTTTTTTGGTTTACATTATTTTTGTTGATAACGCGTTGCTGACATATCTTATAACTATTGAATTCAAATATTCTTTATGAAATTTTCTGGAAACCAGGTAAGCTCTCTGATCTGTGCAGTTTTTCTGTTCCGTGAAGCTAAATTCAATGCTCGAAGGAAGGAAAGAATGATCAACCGAGGGAATCCAACGTTATAGGCCTTACAAACTATAAAAAAGAAGTTATGAAACTGAATATACAGTGATTTGAATACTTACTTTATATAATCTCGTGTAATGTTTTCTAAAAACTATATATATATATATTTTTTAGTTAAAAACATTTTTATTGAAGTTACAACCCTTTAGATATAGCCCACAGTGTCACCATATCTTTACATAAGTGCATTATGGCAGAACGAACAGCCTTATTGCAATAAATAAGTAATCATATAAAATGATGTAAGGGATTAGGCTGCTACCTGGGTTTCAAGATTAAAATAGGAAACTTGGAAATGCAATCTGATGAACTAAATCTCCATTATTTTTCACCTACCAAATCTATCTGTTTGAGAAGTTAAAGCGCTCTTAGTTTGATATCATGAAAAATATCTCAACAAAAGAGTTGCAAATTATTGTATCTACTGTGCACAGAAAAACAACATCAATCAGATTAAATATCTATTTACATATTTATACAGTGGTGATAAATTACTTTGATCTTTTACCAAATCCCCCAAACCCCATTACAGCAGCGACATCAGTATCTTCGAATATTTCTTCATTCTTACGCTTTTTCTCTTTTCGTTTTTCTTGTTTATAGGCTTTAAATTTTTCTTCTTCCTCAGCGATTTGACGCATTCTTTCATCCAAACTATATTCCTCAGCTTTCTCTTCAGATTTTTGTTTATGAAGTTGGAATCTGCAAGAAATAACATGAAATAACATAAAATACCTTTCTCTAACTTCGTCCAATGTAGATCTCTTAATCCTCATAGACATTCCCATATTTCTCTGATGCTTTTTGCCATTTATATGATCCAAATAGTTGATAGAATCTTTCACAACACAATCACAAACTTCACAGTAGTAGCCGGCTTGTGAAGAGCCTGGACCTGTTTTTGCTATCACTTGTGATTTGTTTAAGTTAGATTCTAGGTCGATCTTTAGAAAACTAACTAAGATATAAAGCATGTAGCTTACTGTGTAGTCACGGGCTCGTAAATATTCCTTCTTAATTGTTTCTTTCTCCTTGCGAGCATTTCGCATAGCCTCTAACTCATTGCTCAGTCTATCACTGGCTAATTTTTCAAAATGAGCTTTATCCCATTTTCTTCTGTGATCAACAGGATTCTACAAACAATAGATTAAATCATATGACACTTACTGTGCCAGCCATCTGAAAATAAGAAAAATCCATCCGGAATACATAAAGCAAGCCAAAATAAACATATGAACCAAAACAAATGTAAATTTTAAAAAAGTGATGCAAAATCACTTGTTCTTGTAAGATGCGATTCCCACTATTAAACAGAAATTAGACGAAGATATGTGTTGGTAAAATTTCCCATTGAAGGAAAATTAGTTTGCAAATTATGTTCGACTGAAAACAAAGCGCTCAGTTTCAAGTTTATTATGACTAGCAAAACCATACTAAAAAGTACCGGAATCAGTGAAGAGATAGTACGGTTTGAGTTTTTAAAGTTGGTCACCATGACAGTGAGTAATCTCATGTCAATGTGTCCATTAGATATACCACACAGTGAAACAGTAGTATTCGCTGGATAACATTTCGAACACAATTCACTGTCCGTAAACACATCAGCTGTGTGTGCACTCTAAGTATATCGGTACTACTGTCATCGTTTTGAACCACATTTTCCACTTGCCAACGTATGATTTCTATTGTATCCTGGACCCTAACCAACTTGTCTACATACCTCACAAAGAATAGTGAACTGATATCAAGTTTTATGGAATCCAAGACACACAATTCGTCCTATTTGAGACTCATCATCTCGATATGCCTGCAGTTTCCAGTAATGGATGGTGTTCCTACAGGGAATTGAACGCAGCAACCCCCGTTTTAAAAATCAAAACGTTATTCACTAGGCCACTTGAACTTTTGTTACATTAATTTAACATCTGTTCACCTGAGTGCATCTACATGCAATAGATTAAATCTGCATCGAAATGCCACAATTTAGAAAGTTCTGTTAACTTGCTTTTGTGAAGAGCTTCACACCTAGCCTGTAAATATAAGGAATTATTGCATACAAAATACGAATACCTTCTTTCTCAAGATTTCTTTTTTTACCAGTACACCTATTAGTCTGATTGCATACGGAAGTTTAAGTTTTATAGATAGGAGCAAGTGTTCATTTCATGGATGAAATGAAAGTAGTAAAGGAATTTAAATCAGAAGTTAATGTGCGATGATTTTGTGTTGGTCTTTACACAAATAGTTGGCCCAGTAACTAATAAATGAGTTCCAGCAAACAGCAGTTAGTACTACCTTAATAACTGTAACTCTGAGCATATTCAGACCAATGAATCATCAAAACCAACCAAATTAATCTTTTTTTGTGTTTAAGAGACGGATATGTAGCTTCAGACGTAACACCCGCAGTCTTTGAAATCCCCCAATACGTTTAATAGGCTCCAGACATACACTTAACAGGATAGTTGGCTATGTGGTTCTAGAAAATTAGTTCATTTTTTACTTCTAAGGGGTACTAGTGATAGTATTGTTAGAAAAATAAAAATCTGTAAAATACTAAAAACCAAAAAAAGTGGAAGATGAAGAGGGATGGTCAACACAATGGGTGTAATGCAGTAAGACATAGAGGCTTACCAATTGAAGTAAACTCAAGAAATGAATTCCCAGTGTCAATTTAAACGATATTACCATAGAAAATGGCGTTGTAATGTTATGTTAACTATACACCTTTAGGGATTAAGCATCGCAGTTCAGTGTTTCACAAAAAATAAAGTGCGATTAAGTGGCAGTTTCTATTAAATGGTACACAAGTTATTCGTTTTAACCTTGTATTGTGGTGATGTGATACAGGCAATGTGTACCAACGAAATATTATTCTCACATAATCCCACAGTTCAATACTGCATACAATTTACTTATTTGAACATTCTACTTGATGTTAGAGACGGAATACATTTCCCACGGTTATATACTGCATTAATAAAAGAATTCTATGTATATTTAAACATTCTATTTCATGTCCTATCATGTAAACCGAAATCACACGCTCAGTGATTGGTTAAAGTATATAAACTATATAGATATAAACAGCAGTTTGACCAATGAAAAATATACTTTGCCTTCCGTATCTTGCCTTCTGTTGTAACAGTATTAATCTAAAAGATATCTGGTGGCATTGAAAACAAATATGTTGCTTAGTAGACTGCACTCTTTACAAAAGATATCTGCACCAAAAGTGACGATACTATGGGTTTACTGACTGTTGTGAATTTAATTGATAAATAATATCAGTGTGTGTGACTACTCGGTTATTTAACGATTTCAGCTTGCCTGTATACGACGCTAGACATGTGTTTAATATATCAAATGTGCCTACAAGAACAAAAATACTAGTAATTTGTGTGAGTGGGAAAATCACATCTCCTGTTAATCACCGAGTTTAAAAATACATTATTTGGATAGTTACATATTATCTATATTCAAGTATTGGTTTGCAGGGATTTGATTGATTGGTTACAGGATTTCATCATGAGCTGGTCTATGAGCTCGCGTTGTAACTGGAAGGTCGTGGATTCGAACCCCGGTGAATGCATACTGTTGAAGAGTCTCAAACTAGGTCGAAATAGCTGTCCAGTACTCCCAGGTTTTCCAATGGTTCTCTAACCATTGTCAGCTCATGATGGAATCCGGTAACTAAATATTATCTAGTCAAGTCATGGTGTCTAGCTAGATGTTTATAGTATTGATAAAAGGCACATCCATAAAAAGCTGCTACGCTATTTCCGGTGTCGATCAAACGGATTTTGTAAGACATGACGGTTGGCCACCCATTTTGCTAAGGAACATGTAAGCATGACATCTATTTGAGAGTAGAGGCACACACCATTGACACTGTCTCATGGTGGTTTACAGATGGGAGTATCATGCACCATACCAATAATCTAGTACCAGATAATCTATATGCAGTCATGAGTGAACCCATGAACATAAAAATATCAGGCAATACAATCGATTGTGTGTAATATTCATTAGACTACAAATCACCTCCAACTGCCTGACCAATAGACTTACCAGAGTAAAACTAAACACTTTTGTGCATCAATTTATGTTTTTACCCTTAAGACAAAGCATGCATAGAGGAATGCATTGGAAGAAAAATGGAGTAAACAAAAGAAAAAGAATAACTAAGTGAAGATTATTGAACGTGACTATTTACTGGGAACCAAAAAAGCAGTAGGTTTTCTGCTCTAGTAATCATAAATAAGTCAGTGACTACACTTGGGTGTTGTTATGTACGTTTTATAGCCTCGAAATACATCCGAAATCTGAGCTGCAACAGATGTGGTCAGGGAAGTCTTCCAACTGACCCTGTGTAAGGGCTCACGTTTTAAACCCCAGTATAGATTTGAAATTGTGGCTTTAATAGACTAGGCGTCGTGTTACACTGAATTAAGTGGTTTGCTGCAATCCCAAAGATATGAAATGAAGTAACCTTGAAAAATGTTGGTGAGAAGTAGTGAGGTTTAAAAATAAAAAGATGAGGAAGGTAAGTGGCAAATAAGAATTTTGTATTCTTATGGAGAGGTATGCTGGGCCGGCGTTTTTCGTCTGCTGATAACCTGAAAGTTGAATTTTTTATACAGTACCCAAAAGAAAAACATTAGTATTGCGTAAATGTAGAGGCTAGACGACGACTATTTGAGGGCGCTGAGGCGTGGTCTGTTTAGAAGCAGGGGTACTTCAGGAGTTTCGCGCGCGCACAAGCAATACTGCCAGATCTAGTATGCCGCGGGGTGGGATAAGGTGAAAAATTACGGATATGACCCTTCTAACCCAACCATTTTAGAGTAGTGAGGTAACAGCTGGTTAGCTAATAGCTCCACCATAGAATAACTTTATCTCTATTAAAGACACGCAGTGACAGTGTTATATACTGATGAGGTTTCGGTACAATTTGTTGCTCATATTCACATCAAGGCACAAACACAACTTTCAATCTTTGTTTATATAATTCTAAAATCTCTCATCCTTCAATTTTATTGGTAGTTATATCCTCCATATCACTGGTGTCGGCGTTGCATCATTTCTATTGCGTGTTAGGTGTAGATACAATGAACAAATATTCAGTAACTAACCTCACAGAATAAAGCTATTCAATAAGTAAATAATTCCAGGAATTCAATTGTGTCTCACGTCAACTGTATGGAAAATCCAAGGAGAAATAGGAGTAGAAATGCGATCACCAATGTGCTAGTTGTAGCAGCAGATGCCTGTATGGATAGTTGGGAAAATACGGCTTTTAAAACTTTTAATCTTACCTCAAAGTCATGGTGAAAGTGTATGGCTGACACTTTACATGCTGTACTTAGTTTCTTCACACAAGCTCAGTAGTAGGGGAAGTCAATTTTACATTTGAGTTACAAAATAAACAAGGGGAATTAGCAGTCATGTTGTACAATGGATTAGGCGTAGAGTGCTGGGTGAGGGAGGGAAGTCAATCAATGAGGTTATGAAGCCACATCAATTTAGATGACTAGTACATGTTTGACGCATAACGAGCACCCGTCTACGTCTACAAGCTGACATGGGATTAGGCTGAAAAAAGAGTTAGAGATGGTCAGACCAAATTATGGCATAAATATATGTAGTATTTGACTGTTGACTTGACCTAGACACATAGGGAGATGCAGACTGTCTAGATGTGGTCCTCGGAATTCTACGAACTAGAACGTGGAGACTGTTGGTGACATGACATGAAACCATTTCCAGTTACGAACGTGAATTCACCCTTTGTGTTCTTTCAGATCCATTAAGTCTTAATATCTTTCCATGTTATTATTACTCGTGTACATTTCTTACTATAATTCCTTTGAATTTCTGTTTTACATTTCTTTACCTTGGTGTGCTATATGGAGTGTAGCAACTTCAACTGTTGCACTTCTGTGCACAGCTCTATGTTAAAACTCAGTTAAGTTTTAAAATAAAACAAACAGGAGAAGAAAAATTACTCGCTAGAATTTAATCGAATCTGTTATCTGTAACGGCAGGCTTAGTTAATTGTCTAGTGAACCGGGTAAAAACTGACTAGCTCATCAGAAAACCTAAATAATGAAATGAAGAATGGCAAGTGATCATTATTGTTAAATAACTATCCTACAAAAATCATTTGGAGGTCCAAGGAAGCTAATTATAAGACAACAAAAATATCAGTGACATTATTAATCACGAAATAAATGAGAAATGTAAGGCACCTAAAGTTCTATCATATAGGGAAGTTACAGTTGAAACTCTACGTAGGATTTTTAACAAAGAGGGAATTAAGGTGACTGTTAAATCTACAAACCCACTCAAAGACTAGTTTTGTAGGCTAAGGGATTCCACTAACCTAACTAGACAAACAAATTTAATGTACAAAATACTTTATGAATAATGTGACGTTAACTACACAGCTCAGACGAGTAGATCTGGGTCCTTCAGGTTATTGCAACACAGATAAGTGTAGATCAACCCTAGGAAGGTGAATAGTGTAGATAGAAACTCGGTAGTTGCAATGCATGCACTAACACACGACGGTGTTGGACAGAGTTACAGTTCTAAAACCTAATATAAATAGTTGGAGGGTGAGGTTGATCACTGGATCTTTGTTTATTGTACCTACACCTAATACATGCAAAAGAAGTGACGCAACACCGATACCAAAGATAAGAATATTATTGCCAACTAAATGAAAGGATAAGCAGTGATTGGATTTCATACACAAAGTTTGAGAATAATGTGAATGTCCTGACATGATTATGAGCAGTATATTGTGCTCAAAACGTCATCAATAAATAATACTGTATCATTGTGCACTTTTATCAAGTAAAATGATGGAATAATTCTCTATCGCAGTAACTAAATTCTGTTCTTACATTAGTGGCTAGCCCGGAGTTCGGATAGAAATTTTTGCTGTCTGTCCACACCTATCCGCCAACAGCACCACTTCGTCCTGGTATCCAGCATAACATAGGCTAACTACACCA